ACATCATTTAAGCGATCAAATGGAGATCGAAGCGATAAAAAGGGGAACATGTAAGCGACAAAATGGAGATTAACGAAGATGGAAATGAGTCAGAATATCAGAAGACAAGTGGAATTTGATCAGCGAAACATGGTCTTTGATTCAACCCAGGGCAATCTGAGGCAATTCTTGATAGGTACTTCATGTGTCACAGCATTTTGCTCGTTTTCCCTGCCAGCCAGATGGTTCCCAGCCATCCACACGTTTTCAGCTCGAGGTTTTCATGCGAATCGCCAGCCATGTTCGTCAACCTGCGAACGTTGGGACACACACCTGTCGGGGTCGTCCCATGACACCACTAAGCTGGCGATCTTAAGGGGGAAATTTGTGATGGGTCAAAATCCAGTGATTACCCCTGGTGAACATCAAAATAGTTGGGATTTATGGATAGCCCTGAACATCGACCTGAAATGGGAGGCCAAATTTGGGCACAAAGGTACCCCCCCCTCAATCCATATCTTCAAAAAAGCCCGAAGGTGTTGATAGTTGAGAGTGGTGAAAAGAATTACACAGTATAATACACAATTGGGTATGGATCAATACCTATTAATACCATTTTTAGTGGGTTATTCACATCCATAAATCCCAGCTATTTTGATGTGAACTACAGGTGTACTATAGGTTTTGACACACTGCCAATTGATTCCTAGGTGGATTTTTTCCCACAAATGTTCATTTCCAAGAAGGGGATCATCCCAACTGATCCCTAAGTGAGTTGCAGAAGTTTCCAGGTCTGGATCTCTTTGCTTCAGCTGGTGCTGGGTATGGCAGGATGGCCCAGAGATGCAGTGGACCAGAGAAATCATATGGCTTTTCGATAGATTTTTGCCTAAACCAATTCCCGCACACAAGCATTTATTGGACCATTGCAGTAAACAAAAGCTGGCTTACTTTGACTTCCAGATCAGCCAGAGAGTGCCTAATTTTCAAGATTTCGTTAGTTTTGCAGCTTCGTTTTTTCAGGCTGAGGCCGCGATCAAATTCTTGGGCTTTAATCCCGCCATGGTCCAAACAGAAGCGATGACCTGTTAGGTCCCAGGTAAGAAAAGAACTGCGCAAAACCAACCAGGTCCAGGTTGTTGCGCAGAGCTCTTGTCTGCAGTCTTAGCCATGTTGCTACTAAGAGTTGAACGCCTTGGGAATAGGAACATGATCCATCATGATCCCAACGAACTCTGTTCCTGAACTGGCTTGGAACTGGTGTCATGATTTAAGTAGATCTGCGCGCCGCAGATTGTCCTGGTGTGGTACAAGGCGCTTTTTTTTTGGATCGGTGGCGATCCAGCAGTGGCGTACCCAAGAGAATTCCATCAGGATTTAACCGCCATGGCACTGTGGATCTGTTGCTTTTAATACCTTCGTCAGCTGACGAAGTCTATGTCAAAGAATGGTTCAGAAAGGGAACATCCCAACATGATGTACGTTCTTTTCTGTCTATGTTTGATAGGAAATGAAGGTTTGACAAACAACGTTTGAACGTGGGAGTGTATATAAATCATAGTCCAACCCACTCAGAATGCGACAAAGAGACGCCCGGATCAGAGTTTAGGCATCCACTGAAGAATTTGGGTTACATGGTATATTGCCAAATGATATCTTCAAAAGTGATGATAAGTTTCAGTAAGAAATACTTATATCAATCACAATTGATATCATCATCATACTATATAGCAAACTTTGGATATCTGATCAATTATAGTCTATATTATATACTTATATCGTCAAATCTATGCCACGGTGCCCATTTGAAATACCGCAGGCGGGTGCCGTGGCTGGCGAAGTGGGCTGTCACTTCCTTCCGGCGCACGTCTCTTGGCCATGTTGACCTCACCATCTGGCGATGTTCGACGGGGATTTCATAGGCAACTGATGGGGATTGAGCCATTTGAAAAATAGAAAAGTCTTGATGAATTGATAATGATGAAATAAATACCCTCTGATTATTTAACATAGCCATGGTATAGATGGCCCATTTATAGTGGATTTACCCATTGAAAATGGTGATTTTCCATGGCAAACTGTTAAATAACCAGATGGTAATGGCTATGAAATAGTTTCAGTCCGCAAATGACGGGGCCTGGTTAACCGTTGGAACCGCGACTCTCCAGAGACCAAAAAGGCACTACCGAGCCACGACTTTTGTGATCCCTTTTTGCATATGCATATTGTAGCACGTCTACATATTTCATACACACCATGGTAAGTTTGAAAATGGAGGATACCAAAGAACGGAGATTTTGGAACGAAAGCCAGATTTGCTCAGTCTCAACAATTCAATTTAGGGTTTTCCAATCATCTTCAGAGAAACTCATATAGAGGAGACAGAGGTGATAATATTGGAAATCATTGGGTATATACCAACTGGGAACTATATCAACAATGAGATTTGTTCGTGGGATATAATAAGCAAACATTGGGATCTAACCATGAAAAACTAGAGATTTGACCATTATCATTAAGACAAACATCAAACACAGAGTTAATCTCCATATGAGCTATCAAAAATACATTGGTTGATTGGTCATGATGGGGAGTTGTACTACCTAGGTTATTTTGGATTATCATAACCTATCAACTAACTAGTACAAGGGGGGGGGCTCGGGTGGTGAGCTGCGAGGCCTTAAGACCTGCAGGAAGTCGGGAGACCTATTGGGTTTGTAGAGATTTCATGGGTTTAATCTGTATATGATTTAATGTGGATATAGTGGTATACATATAGATGTATATATATATACACGTATAGTATATTATATATAGAGTGTAGTGTATGTAAACATATATGTATAAAAGATACAACGGACATGAAGTAGCCAACAATGTATGTACATATGTATATATATATTTATATATGATATGATTGGGAATGTACTTTTTGATGGGGCATACGGCATACCATGAAATATGGCCGGCAAACATACCGGGAAACATCCTGAAAAACCCTATGAGATGGAATGGGGCATAGCATTTTTTAAAACAACCCCATAAATTTGCAAGTAGATGAGGTAAAAACATTTTGAACCTTTTTTATTTATACATGCAGACATTGTAAGTGGGTATAACGAAAAACAACTGGGGTAGAATTGGACCAACTTCTTTTTATATTTGCATTGGCCAATTTTGGTTTGAACCAGTGCTAAATCGTTTTTTTTTTTTTTTTCAGAGACAACTGCTTGGTGGTTTCATGACGCAGGTGATCGGGTCGCCATCTGCGAAGTCTAGTGGATGGACATGAAATTGTCCGGATTCTTCGAAGATTCCAAACCAATGTCGCAACTAACTACATCCGTTTGTTGACAGTTGTGTATAATATATATTAATATATATATATATATATACAGAGTTTAGACACACAAATAAACGGCTGATCCTTTTTTAAAGCTGGGATGCAGCTGAGATGAATCTGAAACTGCCAGGTGAGGGGGAGACCCAAGAGGCACCCCTTGGGACCGTTTTGGCCGAGCTAAGGGAGCGCTTTGGATGTCTGAAGCACTGAAGGTTTGGATAATTTGCAACAAATCGCACCAGAAACATCCACAAACCCAGGTTTCCACTAGATAAAATCGCTAAAAAACCTAGAATCTCCAGCTAACTGAAGCAAACCATCCACGGTGCAGCCATGGTTCTCCTTTTCAGCCATGGCTGTTTCGAAATGTTTTTTTCAGCCAGGGAGAAGAGCAAGTGAGCTTCATGCTCAGTGTCCGATCATCCCAGTGACACCCCAGGAGTCCCAAGGTATGGATGGCCCATGGTGCGCAAAAGTTATGATGTGGATGACTTGGGAACTCGATTTTCAGACCCTACTGGGCCTACTGGGCCGCCCGGGCCTACTTTTCAGATACAGTAGTTTACCTTGAACTTTGAACTTTGCAATCCGGGAGTTGGGGGTCTCCAAATTAATTGCTTCAGCTGCCTTCAGGGTCTTTGCATGTGAGCTAAAGCTGAGACATGATGCCAGCCCTGCCAGCTATAGCTCGGGGTTTACCAATTCCTGACGTGCAGTTAGTTCCCCAACTTGAATTTCACATGTGTCGACATATCTGAATATATCTGATATGTATGCCTACATCAGCTGGTAGTCATCCCATTATATAAGATGTATGATGTATCGGATACAAAAAACCATGGGGTACTTCGATATTATGGCCCAGTCAGGTACCCACAAAATGGGTCAAATTTTTAAAGGCCACGCATATCGGGATGATATTCTGTAGATATCTCGATTTTCTTACCTGAAGATTTCCTTCGTGTCACCCATGTTCTTCGAGATCGTAGTAGCTGAAAATACCCAAGACACGGCCTTGGGATCACAATCGGATGGTCATTTGCAGATTTTTTTTTTTGCGCCCATTGTGAATCGGCCTAATTTGTGTATGTTTGCTTCGGCCTAAAAAAAAAGCCCTACTATCCAGGTGAAACATCTATGCCATCATGGAATAAGTGATAGTAGTGATGATAATTATTGCAACAATAGCAAGAATGGTGATGATATAGTAGAAATAATACCATATATCATAAGTTTGAACTGACTCTCCCATTTCATTCCCATTCTTTCATATTCCATTCCCAGTTTGGTTGGGACTGTGATTATCAACAAAAAATTCAACTAAAATAGAATAGACATATATGTAAAATCTGGATTCGGGATATTGTTCATAGTATTACCATTATATTTTTCACTAATATATGTATTGAATCATAGATTTGCTATATTGTTACTACTATCCCAATCACCAACCGGATGGTTGAAAAGCTGTAAATCATGGGGAGCACCTAGAGGATGGTGGTTTGTAGTGATGTTTCTTGGTTGATACCCCATGAATACTATATTTCTACAGTTCTATCATGTTCTATCATGTTATATCATAGTTATATCTACTATAAACCATAGAATTCAGTCACTTCAAGTCACTGGGACTTCCCCAGTGAATCTCAGCAGCCGCTGCCATGCCCAGTTTGCCGCCATGGTGGGTGTCATCGTCACTTCGGCCTTCGGCACCCTATACCTGGAGCGCCAGCTGAAGGCCAGTTCCAAGGACGGGGGGACACGGCGTTGCGGGGAAGGCGTTGTTTCATTGAAAAGGATGCAAAACCTTGCGGGAAACCTCAGATTTTCTGGTGAACCCCACTATTTATCTCTATTTTCTATCTTTTGGAGTTGCTATAACTTGGAAAAAGGATGGTGAAATGAACCAAAGAGAGTTTTTGAAGCGGCCGAAATGGTGGTTGAACCAAGACAGCATATCAAGATACCCACACTGAGACGGGTCAAAATCTATGGACCATCGGTTGCTGAGTTGGTTTTTTCATCCATTTACATATAGCCATTTGGGTGTGGACAGGTTTAGACTGAAACCATGACTGAAGACCATGTGATGAAGAAATGAATGGAATGAAATGCATGAAAAGAAGATGATATAAGTAGGAATGTAGCTTCAGATCCAAGAGTTGTTTCGTTTCGCAAGTAGAAAATATGCGTGAAGACTCGTAGCATTGCAAACAACAGATCCTAAACTCGCACGTAATTCTTGTCCCAGGATCCGCTGTTCGTCCAGTTGCATCAGTTGAACGCGGCCGGCTTAACAGGTGCGCGTCGCACGAGCGCTCTGTGCCATTGGAAGTGTGGGGTAGTTAGGTTAAATGTCAAGCTTAATCACCAGAGCAATGCAGATTTTACCTGCAAAAATCTGCACAGCAAGAATGGGTTGGCGAAGGAGAGGTGACGACGGATTCATTCCTTGCCATAAACCGGTGGTTTCTGCTTCTAAAAATCCAGGTTTTTGCACGATATCTAAGAGAAGACGTCTTTGGACCAGTATTTGATCAGAAGTCTTCACCAGCCTCAACTTTGACTGATTGGTCACAACCACCAGGAGCACGTGTTCTGGGGCATTTTTGTTTCTGAGGATCTGACAATGAGAAATGATGATTAGTTTGTAAGTTCTTCATTGCCCTTGCTAGGTCCCAGGGGTTTCCACAGCAACGTTTTCCCCATGATCAAGCAGTTTAGGGTAGTTTAAGCCTAAGCTGTGCCCCTTTTACCTTTACAGTTCGTGGCGTGGAAAATTGTCTTGTACATAGTGTGGCAAACCCAACACTAAAGTGCGTAGACTGAGTAGACCGGTGATTGTTGATGGTTTGTATTGGAATGCTATATTATTGGGTTTCCACATCATATGCAATGGAACAATCATCTTCCAGCTTGTGGGTTTCAGCACTAGCAGACTCACCCAAGCCACGCCGAGATCTCAACCTCCCAATATTTGCGAGTCTGCGTGGGCCCATAGCCTAAGGGAACATTTGCGAAGAGAAAAAATGCCTTTTGCTTAGGGATTTCCTATGAATTTCCTATGGATTTCCTATGAATTTCCTATGAATTTCCTATAGATTTCCTATGAATTTCCTATGGATTTCCTATGGATTTACTATGAATTTCCTATGAATTTCCTATAGATTTCCTATGAATTTCCTATGGATTTCCTATGGATTTCCCATGAATTTCCTATGGATTTACTATGAATTTCCTATGAATTTCCTATAGATTTCCTATGAATTTCCTATGGATTTCCTATGGATTTCCCATGAATTTCCTATGGATTTCCCATGAATTTCCTATGAATTTCCTATGGATTTCCTATGGATTTCCTATGAATTTCCTATGGATTTCCTATGAATTCCTAGGATTCTGGAGTCCCAAAGCCCTCAATTTCCGATTTCTCGACAGGTGCGCTGATGGTGGCCATGCGTCGGGCCAACGAGCCCGATGTGTCGGATGCCCACCCCGGGATGGAGCTTGACAGTGCCTCGGCTGAAAACACGATGATTGCGACTATGATTGTTATGATAATCCTGTTGGACACTAGATATATGTTATATATATTTTATATATGTTATATATATGTTATATATATATATGATATATGATATATATATATATATGTATGATGATGATGATGATGACGATGACTATTATCATTCTTATTATGATGATGTTTACTACCATTATTGCCTGGAGAAATGGGCTAGTGAATTGTTATGATTTACTTAGATTATTGATACTCTCTCTCTCTCTCTCAAATATATATATATAGATATATTTATATATAATATATTATTATGAAGGTTATTATTGTCATTAACAATAGTAATTACACATTCTTCACGGGCACAACATAGGATCTACAGTGGAGATTGGGATTTCCAAGCACCAAGATGGGGTTTAAACAGGTCTAAAGCAACAAACATGGGGAATCTAAAGGAAAATGCGGCAGAACATATACAGTATGTCTTTTTCCAAGTGGGAAACCCTGATTGAACAACCCAAAAGCATGTCAACCCTGGGTATCCTGAATTGACAATCCTTGTTGATTAAATTTTTGGGAATTCATTCAAAAGGACATAATATCTTTTTGGAACCCCTTCAGCCATGGTATACCAATCCGGGGTTGACATTACTCGACAAGGATTTAAAGTCCATCATTTTTTTGCACAAAATAGATTCGTGGCCAACAAAACTGGAGGTTTCAACAAAAAAACATAGGGGGATTCAAACGATAAAACACATATGAGTGCTTCAAATCTACATACACCGGTCTTTGAAGCTACAAGCATGGGCTGAAAAGCCATGGAGCATGAGGACTTTTACTGGCTAACGAACAAGCCGCCACATTGAGGTGATGTCCCCACCGCCGCTCCTGTCAGGGCCACAGCGCCCAGGAACAAATGGCCGGTGAAGATGTCCAAAGTGTGTTGTGAGTTGCAATTTACCAGCATTTGCCAGTAAGAATTCCAGGTTTGGGGCAGAGAGTTCCAAACTTTACGATTTTTTGGGCCATTTTCGAGGCAGAGTCGGTTACTTCAAGTGCAAAAGGGCTGTGTAGTGCCGTATGCATTTCCTGCATTCCAAAGGGCAGTGCACTCGTCACGCTCTCTGACAATTTGATGCCTTTGCATATGATATAGAAACGGACTCGACCATCAGAATCAGACACATGTTTCATCATATCAAATGTATGTGTATCTAAATCTGGTTGGTGCTTTGGAACATGACTTTGATTTTTCCATTCAGTTGGGAAGGTCATCCCAACTGACGAACTCACTCCATCATTTTTCAGAGGGGTAGGTCAACCACCAACAAGATGTGTCCATACCCAGGGCAGGTCCGACTGACTGAGGACGAGGAGAGTCCCTACCTGCTACCGTCACCCTGGCTGATTGGTGCTGGTGAAGCTATTTGGGCCGTTGGGTCAAAAGCATAAAAAATCACCAGTTTCTATGGGCCATTTGGAAGAAACATCCATTTGGGTCATTTGGGTCTTCCTAGTTTTTTGCATCTGACTATACCTGACTGCCCAAAATCTATGAGACCAACTGGGTTTCCCAGTGAGACATGACCTGCCGTGGCTACAGTTCCATGAGCCCCGAACGCAGCCCTAGCACTTGGGACTAGAATTTAGCATGTCAACTTTCGCAGAAACAGGTGCTTAACCTACATACACTTGGAGGTTATTACTGAGTTTTTACCGTTTTACCACATTATATCTGGGTAAATTATAACGACCTCACTGCGACCTCACTGGTCTCCCTCACTGGAATCATGGTTTTTATAGGGAAATCATCCCCAAATGGCCCAACAATTCAGGTTAGTGAAATATTATAATTTACCCAGATATATTAATAGTAACCATTAATAATAACCAGAATACCATTAATAGTATTATTAACCATATATTAACCATATATTAACCATATATTAACCATATATTAACCATATATTAACCATATATTAACCATATCTCACGAAGCACAGCGCCATTGGTGCTTCAGCTCAGGCTGAGAGTCGCCCTTAGTGTCTCCTGTGTAGGGAGGACCCAGTGGGACCCAGTGGACCGGTGTCAGCGACGCCACGGGATGTCAGCAGTACCAACTGGACAGTTACCCTCTGGTAATGACTAACATAGCGAACTGGAAAATGACCCATTTATAGATGGTTTACCTATTACAAATGGTGATTTAGTGACTACCCTCTGGTAAACATACAAAAAACTATGGAAAATCACCATTTTCAATGGGATAAATCCACTATTTCGACTGGGCCATTTTCAATAGCTTTTTGTATGTCATTACCAGATGGTAATACCAAGCTGATCAAGCCCCAATAATTATGGTGAAGCTGAAGCTGAAATTTGGCCAAGGATGTTTGGCCGGAAAAAATGGACGTCACGCATGACTGGGGTTGTTTTTTGGCGGGTTTTTTTATCCTTTGGATCCTTTGGTCGAAAAAGCCTGTCCCGATTGTCGCCTCAACAGCAATTCGCATACTGGCAAGTACTGTAAAGCATAGTAAACCTGCTGGTATACACAACCCATAATACATACATGGGGTTCCATAAATGGGGTACCCCCAACGGATGGTTAATGGAAAAACCAATCTAAAATAGATGAGAACTGGGGGTACCCCTATGACTCAGGAAACCTCCATATGGCTATGGATCAATACCTATTAATACCATTTTTAGGGGGATGAACATCCATTTACCAGCTTTTTTGATGTTCACCAGGGGTACAAGGTTTTGACACACTGCCATATAAGTAACTTAGTAATTCATATCATTAACAACATCAATTTGGATAACCATCATCGCTAGTGACCCATGAGGTGGTCGCCCGTGGCGCTCTCAATGGCAGCGTTCTGAAGAAGTTGGACGTTCGGGAACTCGGGAAAGCGCCAAGTGCGTGGATGGTATCAATGACATTAAATGATGTGTATATACATAATATACATATATAATATATGATAATATATATATACATACATACATAATATATATATATAGTATATAATATGAAAAAACAAATATTTAAATAAATACATACATAAATAAATAAATGAATAAATAAATAAATAAATATGTATATATATATGTACACTGACATGCACACACAATATATTCACACACATGTATATATATATATGTATAATATGCACATGTATATGACCATTAGAAATGGGCGTGGCCTAGAATTGAGTGAAGATGATTGTGTCCAGCAAAACACGGAGATTTTACTACGACGCCCTGGGGGTTGGTGAGCTGAGCGATTTCGTCTATTGCATGTGGCAAGGCACTTATTCAGCTGCAATCATTGATCATTGGGTAGATGAACATCTTGTTTGATATATATATATATTACTTTACATTACTTTATCAGTTGCAACCGTTGGGTAAATGAATCTTTGGCTTGGAATCCCTGGTATTATCTGTTTTCCAGCCCCAATCTCATGCCCAATAATCCTCCATGTCTTGGCCGAGGCCTTGACCAAAGGTTTGATCGATGTCACGGCTATCGTCCTCTGCACAGTGATTCAAGTCTTGGTGCGAGTCTCAGCACTTGGCGATGACGGGAAAAGTTAGGCAACCCCATCCCTTGGGGATGTAGAAACTGGGATAGAATAGATGCATGGGATACAATGGCATATGTCATCAAGTTTATGCCATATGGCTTTGGGTCAGAAATAGGTCAGAAAGAGGTCAGAAATCCGCCCACACCGCTTTGGCGGTGAAGGCGTGCTTATTGGGGGGCAAAACAGCAACACTAAATGCTCAATGACATTTGTTAATATAGCAGTCGCTATATCAGCTTTAGCTGGGGGGGGGCCCAAAAACGGTTTCGCACCGAGACCAGAATACGGTGGTGTTTCCGACATTTTTCGAAGATTTTTGGGTGTCTGAGCGCAAGAGGGTATTGAAATGGAATTTTGGGTCATTTTGGTAGCTTTCCGGCAATGGAAAAACGGCCAAAAATGAAAAAAACATTGTACAAAGCAAGATTTTGCAGGGTTTTTGGATGCCAGAGCATTGAAAACACTGCAAAAACAAGTGTTTTGGACTGACGTTATAGCAAAAAACGTGTAAATTACCGTATGCTTGACTGGAAACATTACAAAAACACTGTCAAAAGCAATGTTTGGGAAGGATTTACTGCCTTTATGGCAAAAAACGTGTAAATTACCGTCTGTTTGACTGGAAACATTGGAAAAACACTGTCAAAAACAATGTTTTGGAAGGATTTCTTATATATATATATGTTGGAGTTGGCTACCGGCATTGGAACATGGAAAAATTGAAGAAAGCACTGTAAATAGCGGTATTTTCAACGGTTTGGGAGATAAGGGAATTGGAAGCATTGTCGAACATGATGTTTTCGACCGGTTTTATGGCGACAAAAGTGTAAAGTACCGTGCTTTGAAGGAAACCATTGCAAAAACATGGAAACACATTCAAAGAACACGGGATTTGGGGGACTATCTAGGCGTCGTTGTCTAGCTATTTGAAATTCCGCAGCTTGGAGAGCCTCCAAGGGAGGGAAAAGTGAAAAATTCCA